CCTCTCCTCTCCCCTCTCTTCCCCTCTCCTCTCCTTTCCTCTCTCTTGCCCCATGCTAGAATGCTGTGGACCCCAGCCTAGGTCATAGCAACCTCAAACTTCTTGGCTCAAGTTATCTTCCTGCCTCAGTCTCCTGAGTACCCAGGACTATAGGCACCCACCACCACACTGAGATAATTTTCTATTTTTGGTAGAGTTAGGATTTCATTCTTGCTCAGGCTGGTCTGAAACTGCCAAGCTCAAGCCACCCTCCTACCTCTGCCTCCCAGAGTGCTAGGATTACTAATGTGAGCCACTACGCCTGGCCTGTATTTTTTAAGATAAGCTGGTTACCCTTCTGTGGCATTATATTAGTTAACCATTTTTTATCCCTTATATGCAAAGAACTCTTATTGGGCTTGAGGGTGATATGAGAACAATTGTAAAGCATGAGTTTAGGAACTAAAAGTTTAATTAAGTGTAACCCATGTTCTCACATGAAAGGAGTTGTAAATGTTGAAAGTAAGTATATTCTCTGTTGACTTAAATGGTTAAGGTTGTTCTGTGGTTGGGTGATACATTTGATCTTAGCCAAAAGGCAGAGAAGTGATGCCTTAAAAAAAAATTAAGGCTGGGGTGGCGCCTGTGGCTCAAAGGAATAGGGCACTGGCCTTATATGCCAGAGGTGGTGGATTCAAACCCAGCCCCGGCCAAAAAAAAAAATTAAGGCTGGATGCAGTAGCTCATGCCTGTAATCCTCGCACTCTGGGAGGCCAAGGCAGGTGGATTGCTGGAACTCACAATTTTGAGACAAGCCTGAGCCAGAATGAGACCTCATCTCTTTAAAAAAAAAAAGAAAAGAAAATAATAGCCAGGCATTGTGACAGTTGTCTGTAGTCCCAGCTACTTGGGAGGCTGAGGCAAGAGAATCGCTTGAGCCCAAGAGTTTGAGGTTGCTGGGAGCTGTGACATCATGGCCCTCTACCCAGGGCGACAAAGTGAGACTCTGTCTCAAAAATAAAACAAAAATAAAAATTAAGTGGTTTGCCATTTGGTTATAGCCTGTTTATACCTCTACTGAGAAATAATTAATTGGTTAAGGGTCAGTGGAATTTCTGAATCTGAGTGAAATGTCACGACTAGAAAACAAGAGCTCTCGTTCTCTCTCACGCTCGTCAGACGTGCTTCTTTTAATGATTCAGAATAAGGGAAGCTGCTCCAGCCGTTCCCTCTACTTACCCCCAAACTGTCACAATGATTTCTTATCCATAGCGTCCTTAGTCTCTTGTTATTATTTGAAAATTTAAAAATGAAGCTAAGAATATGTATGTTTCATAATGACTGAGTTGTTGTGATCTTAGTGTATAAAGTGGGGGTCAGATGATTTAGGGCACCCCTACTCGTGTGAAACAGACCCCCAAGACTAGGAGTATTTAAAAACATATTTACTCACAATAAAACAAGTCAAGGTTACAATATGTAAAATCCCACTAACAAAAGTAAAGTCATGTGTCAATCAAATGCCACAGAGAATAAGACACAACATGATCCTGAAATAGGAGGTCAGTGGCTGTGTTCGTGTCTCTTTTGCATCGATGCACTTGAACCCAGGGTTGCTTCCTTGCTACTCCCTGATGTGAATTCTCCTTCTGAGATTCAGGCAGCATCTCAGAGTGCCCAGGTATTTTGTGGGCCCTCTCTTCCCTCTTCTACTTTACTGATTTATGAACTTCAGTAAGCTCTACCTCACATCAGAAGAATTCAATCACTGTGAGTTGAATTCATCCTAAGTCATCATTTTAGCTATAATCCTTTTACTCACAGGTGTCCGGAGAGTCCCACTGACCTCACCCAGCATTTCAGAGGTAGTGACTCTCACTGACACTGGAATCTTTTTGTCTGTTTATGTCCTGCTGCTTAAATCCCTTTAAAAATAAGTTCTCACCAAATGCAAAGTGCCATATTCAGGTCCCAGTTTCCCTCCCGCATGTTTCTTGCTAAACCCTCAGGTTCTTCTGCGTCCTCCATCAAAATTTTCTTCTCACTGAGGGTATTTTCAGTGGGCATCATTTATAAAGCAGCTACTGCTGTATAGATATTTCTTCGCACACTTTACAAGTAATAGGTAATTTACATAGTTTCTGAGTGCACTTATCACCTTATCATCATATAATAAAATGTTCATATACACTGTATCTCATTACATAATAATAGAGAAAATCTGGTTTAAATGTCACATTTATCATGACAACCGGGAGAGACAACTGAATTAAGTTTAGACTTTCAGAAACTTAAGAATCACAGTTCTGGGCTGGGCGTGGTGACTCAGCACTCTGGGAGGCTGGGGTGGGTGGATCACCTGAGCTCAGGAATTTGAGACCACCCTGAACAAGAGTGAGACCTCCCTCTCTACGAAAAATAGAAAAATTAACCAGGCACTGTGTCAAATGCCTGTAGTCTCAGCTACTCGGGAGGCTGAGGCAGGAGGATCGCTTGAACCTCAGGAGTTTGAGGTTGCCGTGAGCTGTGATGCCACAGCATTCTAGCCTGGGGCAACAGATTGAGACTTTGTCTTAAAAAAAAAAAAATCCAGCATTGCCTGTGGCTCAAAGGAGTAGGTTACTGGCCCCATATCCTGGAGGTGGTGGGTTCAAACCTGGCCCCGGCC